AATAAAATTATCAAATTTATTGTAATATAACATTTGTAGATGAATTTGAACCTTTATGTATTAGCCATATGCGAATTTTATTTACTATTGTTTCTATCAAGTCTACATTTTGTTCTTGAAGTTTTATAATTTGTGGTACTTCCATTCCAAGCTTATCTAAAAGTGCTTTCATTTGAAATGAAGTATTGTAATTATATTATTTTATATAAAACATTATTCTATGTACGATTGTATACAAGGTAAAAAAAATATATGTACTATATATAAAATATTTATATACTATACTATTTTTAACTATAAATTTTTCTTTTTTTAAAAGTATATATATATATATAATATTATATATTTTTTATGACTCTTTTTTTGTAAAATCAGTACCTTTTGGATTTGTTTCCTGGATACAATATTCCAACTAATATCATATATCAAATTCACTGGGTCAATTCTATAATAAAAAATTTAATGTGTTATTCAATTTTGTGATCGAAAGAATGTATACAATTTTTATTACATTAGATTTAGATATAATAATTACATAGTTATAAGTTTATCCCAATGATTCATAATAAAATTCAAGACTACATCAACATTTGGAAAATCTCCATTTAATACCGAATAGATAACACGATGAATATCATTCTTCGCAATTGGCGTATTTTCAGATATAGTCATATTTAAAAATTTATCGATAATAGTCGAGTTTCTAGAGTGTCCCAAACAATATAATGTTTGTTCAGACATGTTTGTGTACATATATAGCAACTTGTTCCAAATAGTTTCATTCGCTCGTTTTATACCATTACAAAATATCCATCTTTTCTTATGAAATGAAGTTCTAAAATAGAATTTTTAGCAATGTTATATAAAAAAGAATCATTCTTAATATTATTTATTTTTAGCAAATAAATATTTAATAAAGTAAAAATAATTTTTGCATAACAAATTATTTTAGTACATATATTACATATTATTAATTTTTCTTTTTTTCTATATACCTACAATATCTTATATTTACCTATTTGAAAATATCGTTAAATTGTTTAAATAATCAATTAATTGAGTATAGGCTTCATTTAAGCATGTAGGATGACCATAAACACATGCATCCTCAAGAATTGCATTTCTCGTAAATTTCGTGAAGTAATCGTCATTTGGGCGATCCTGTGTACCGACAGTTTCTACTATATTATTCATCAAGTCCAGAATGTATGGCTAAAATTATATAATAAATTTTATGATATATTGATACTATAAATGTAATGCAGAGTGTTTTAACTAATTACTATAATGAAATAGAAATATGTATTTTAAAAATCAACTTTTAAAGTTGTTAAAGATTGGGTTTATTCTTAATTTTCTATACACATAATGTTATCTGAAACATTTCTTAATAATTCTTGCATAGATTTTTAAAAGTAATTCTTGCATTTTAAGTAAAATTGTAATTTACCTTAAGCAATTCACCTCCTCCATTATAAGCAAAATACTTGGTTGCGTCTCTTAAAATTTTAAACAATGAGAACCACACTACATAATCTGTTTCACGTCGTAAATATTTTGTAAGGTCCATAAAAATTCTGGGATCTAATTTATCCGTGAACATAAGGTGAATTGCATCATTAATTATTCGTGCGCGATTAAGCACGTGTATTTTTGTGTAATTCTCAGAATTTAGATAGTCAGCAATTTTCAACCAATTCATTGTATCATAATTTACACGATAAAAACCTAAAATTTCAGTATAATTCATATATTATCAAAGATGGAATTTTTTAATTAATATTTAATAAATTTTTTCTGTAATATAATTAAATATACAACAAAGTGGTAATAGTTAATAGATTTGTAGGAAACATATAAGTCTTACCAGTTTGTTGAACATTTACGATGATCCAATCTTGTGGATCAATACCATCGATTACAAGCTCTTCAGCTTTTGGCGACAACCAGTGCGTTGCTAAGGTTGATGAAAAATTTGGATTGGTGCGAGTTGCAAAATTTATTGGTACCCACCACTTCATATTCGTAACATCTGTGTTGATACTAATGAGATTTTTACGTATACTTATTTTTTTATATGGTTGAAAATATTCCTGTGTAATCTTTATCTTTCCAATAAGTTGATCTCTGGTTACTGTAATAAGAGGATATCCTTTCTGTTTGATCCAGGTATCCATTACTTCTTGAATTTTGAATTTGTTTTGAGATACCGTTGATTCATCATATGCATCTTGCAAAGCAGTCCATAAATCTTCAGGTTTAGCTGCGCCGTATTTGCTAATAATTTATTTTATAGATAAATATTGTTTTATAGATTACCTATTGTAGCATTATTGTAACTTTTATAATAATTTTATGAGATACTGCTTAAGAAGTCATAATACTCATGCATATACATATAACATTCTGAGATGACTCGTAAACATATTTTAAATTATAAAACAATATATTTGTGATTTATATGTATATATATATATTATATATGTACATTAAAAGACAACGTATAATAATTATATACGTACATAATAAACTAATATAAATGTTTATTCGTTATAATATGTTAGACAATTGTTAGCTATATATTGTATTAATGGCTTCTATTATATACTTAAATAATATTATAATAACTTAATAACCAAATTGAAAATATATGCTACAATGTATATTTATTTTTGTATAAAATTATAATACTTTACTAACTGTTTATTAAGATATCTGATGAGTCCTGTGTGGAATATGTCATCAGAGAGACAATGTGAAAGCATTCGTAAAAGCAAAGAAGCTGAAATGACAATCGTAATTTTTAAGAAAGAATTTGCTATCTTTTAATAAAATAATTTTAAATTAATTTTAAATCATCTCTAGTTATTATTTAATATTTTACCTTTTTGATTTTTTAATGAAGAAAATTTGAATTGAATTTCTTTAATAGTATAAGGCTCCAAATTAAGAGGTTGTGTGTATTCCAAACTGTCCAAAAATAGGATTGAATTTAGCGTTTCCATAATTAAAAAATCCATAATTCGCCAATCTTTATAAATCTAAATATAAAAAATCTAATTAATATTTATGTATATTTACGTATATTATATTTATTAAAATTATAGTATATGCTCTAATTCTGAAATTTCTTTTCTTATAATATATTAATATTGTTAGAAAACAATCGTAAATACATTTTATGAAAATTGTTAGATGAATACATGTATATAATGATACATTTTTAAAATGCTTGATCATAAAATAAAATAAAATGTATTTGTAAATTTTATTACCAAATTTTTACCTTATCAGCAGTATAGTATTTGAAATATTCCACAAGGCCTCCATTCATCCATATATAAGTCCACCATAAAGGACTAATAACATTACCAAACCATTGATGACTCGATTGATGAATGATATTATTTGCAATTCTATACATTTCATCAATTGAACTTTCCTTTTCATTGTACAGTATCGTAGCTTCTCTATAGATAATATAATTATAATATATATGTATACCAAACGTATAATGTAAAAGTTTTATTTTATAAATTTTATAAATATTTTAAAATAATTAACACATTATTCTAATGTATATATTATGTATAATGTTAAAAGACTATTTTTTTAATGTAAAAGTATGTTAAAGTATATAAGAAACTCAAAGCGAAGACAAAGAATATTTTTGCAGATGTAATACTTTATATACAGACAAAATTTGCGAAATTGCAGAATAATACATGTCTACGTTTTGAAATATTCTACTTTTTTATAAGTGTTACGATGTAAAAGTTTTCAACTATACAAAATTAATGTGATTTCATATATATATAACATTAGTTTTTTAAAAAATCAAGATAATCAATAGGCTCATATGAATTAGTTTTTTAATTCATTCAAGCGTTTATGAGATATTACCGATATTTGATATATTGCCATTCCTTATTCTTCTGTGCACATATTATTGCATTTCTATGCACATATCATGATATTACCTGTAAGTGATAAGCCCCCAACTTTCCATGCCCTTATTGTATCCAATAACATATCTGTCAGGAAGCGCAACATGATCGATTTTGGCCAGCCGAACGGAACTGTTGGTGTATCGTTCCAATTCAATTGCCGCCTTCTGGGCGACTTCGTGGGCGAAACTTGCTGAGGAAATTACGCTGCCTCTGCTCCAGACGTTGATGGTTCCATCGGAATTGCTTATATTACGAAGATCGAAGATTAGGAAGCTGACTAGGTACGTTGATATGACAGGCGATTCTTCAAAATGTGTCCATATCTTTCCATCATTCTCGTCGATTTCCGATTCTTCGGAAATCGGCATGTTCGAAATGGCCGTGTAATTACGATGATGTTTGATGGCAATCTTAAAAGAAGCCTTCAATGCTGGTTCGTCCCAACAGGGAAAAGCAGCACGTGCGTAAGTTGCCATAAAATTTGTCCCAGCAAACCATCTGTTAAAATTTCAATTGTTATTATAATTTTGAAAACAATAATTTATTTTTATTTCATATAGCGTTCTTATTTATATATATGTACTTATCAAGTATTTATTTATATAAATTACTAACACATTATCCATTATCTCATTTTTTATATATATTTTAATTCAGAAACCGATAATAAATGATTGCATACTTACACTACATCTTTTGTGTCATTAATATAAGAACTTCGGTAGAATCCATATGATCTATCATTTAATATACCAGCAAATTTCAAATGTAAAGTATAATGTCCGATAGGTAGTTCTTTGTCAAACCCAAGAATTAAAAATTCAGTTATATTGTTAATGTTATATGTAGCGGGAACGTAAAAATCAAATCCACTGTTGGTTTTCAGGAAAGATGCGTTTTCATCTATTGTCAGTTTCTTCGTATGCAACGTGATAGTTCTAGTCTGGTTCAGAATTTCAATATGGACGAATACTTCGCCATCAAATGTAAAGTTGTCTGACGTAAGATGCGGGTTCAATTTAAGATCATAGAACAGAGGTTTTGTGTGATTAGGTAACCGATAATTTATTTCCTTATCATTCAGATTTGAATCTTGTATGTCAGCGGCGTCTATTGCGATGAATGCAAAGACACTGATGTAGATAATTTTGCATGCCAGCATTCTGAAAAAGTAATAGAATTAGTTTAAGTTTTTCATAAATATTATAAAAAGATTTTTTCCTATTAAAATTCCACAAAAAGTAGAATAAAAGAAAATAATTATTCTACATATTGTTATTACTACACATTTACTGACTTGTCATTTGAATAAATGCTAATTGTATTTTAGAATTAATTTTTTTAATTTTCGAATTACATTAGTTTAGTACGTAACTTAAATTTACGTAGAAGTTTAAGCAATTTGTATTAAATTAATAAACTATAATTTGATGAAATTATGGTTTATTACTTTTTAATTAGAATTTTATTTGTTTTTATATATGTATATATATATATAATATTGTTTTTAAAAATAATAATAGATAGGTAATATCTCCTGTTTTTTAATTTAATGTTTAAAATATTTTAATAGAACTTAAGCACATGCGTACCTCGTATTTAGAAACGTAGTTTCGCGTTATCAGAGAAGTGTGAACATAATACTGCAAAGTATAACAAATGTGGAAATGCGTCTCTGCGTCGAAACAACTAACGTGACCGCAGTGTTAATTAAGCGGATTAAGCATATTAAACAATAGCAGTGAGTATCACGTTCAAGGATGAATTTAGTTTTAAATAGCTTCCACAAACAAATGGTAGTCCCGGAAAAAAGCCCTATATACATATAGTTATATATAATTATATATATAATAACTATATAAAATTATATATAATTATATATATAATGTTATATTCATTATTATGGACATAATAAACGTGTTAGTTTGAGAATACTTTAGATGATTGTTGTGTAATTTTTATAAATAATTACGAAGATATATGAAATTATTATTTATTTAATTATTAAACGCTATTTCTTAGTAAAAATTCAAAATACAAATGTAAAAATACAAATGTTGTAATAATGCTATGATTAAAGAATACATTCAATTAAAATTCATCGAATAATTTAAAATTCAAATCGTTATTTTGAAATAGAATATGAGAATTCTTATATACAAAAATAGTAAGTACTTAATATTGATTAGTTTAATGGTAATATTTCATTATTTTTATGTAGAAGTGATCTAATTGCGTTATAATGGATATTTACTATTATAATAAATTATTCTTTTTGCGTATTTATGTTGTTAGGTGTTAGGTGTTAGGTGACGATTGTAGTGATTGTACTAGCCGAGACGCTATTGCTTCTCGTTTATAAAATCTTTGCTCCGATTTTCAGAAACGTCTGATATTAATAAGGAATAATCCTTTCGAAGAAACAAAGCAAGACAAATACTTGTAATTTTGTTACGTATAAATGTTATGGCACGACTTTCAAATGTGCTTTTATATTGCATTATTAACAGTTTTTGCATTATTAACAGATATAATAGTAAAAATTGTTGAGCACAATATTTAAATGTAAGAATTTTAGAAGATTATATTTATTAAAAATATATAAGTATAGCTTAAGAAAATATAAAAAATAATATTCATTAAATAACTTTAAATATTGATAAAAAAGTAATTATATAATAAATATAAATTGATATAAAAAATATAAATATACACACAACATTGTAATATAAAATATATATTTAAATAGCAAAACAAAGGTATTAATATATATATTAAGATGTACATTATAAGAGAAATAGAAAAGATATAAAATACATAACTTATTTTAAATAAAAAGAAAGGAACTTTTTGGTAAGTTTTTTTCCAAGTATTATATAAATATTAGAAATAAAGATAATATTTATTTTAAAAGATATTCTTTTTTAACTGGTTATAATTCTTTTACAGTTTTATTTTGTATTAAAAACGATGAAAATTTTTTATACTCTTCTGCCAAGTTAGATTTTTGGTTTTCTATTATATTTTGCATCCTTTTAGATATTTCTTCGTTGAAATTATTTTTCACAAAGTCAGTTATCTATATTATAAATTATTACAAATTTTATTAGTATAAATTCTTAAAAAAATTGATTTTTTTAACGAATAAAATTGTATTTTTAAAAATTGTTTTATTACTACATATATATATATATATATTTGTATTACTTTAAAATGATAGTATACCATTTAAAAGTATTTATAAAGTAAGTACAATTATTGAAATGATAAGATAAAAGTAAATAAATTTGATTATGATTAAGTAAAGACACATGACATCTAAAATAATAAAATTTACCTTATCAAGTCGTTCATTAGAATGTACGCTAAAAACAACAGCCATTAACATTGTTTGTTTTGAAATTTTTCTAAAAAAATTTATAAACGATTTATAATTAGTAGATAAAAGAGAGAATATAACATTATATCTATCTATAATTAGTAAAAAATGTTATTACCTAGGTGTAATTTTTTCTAAATTTTTTAGTATATAATTAAGTACCGCGTCATTATCTGAATGTTGCTGAATAATATTTTGAATAATGTCATAGTGATGATTGTTTATTAAATCATTCGAGACACTTGTATTTATAAAATTGATCAGAATGTCAGGATCTTCAGAGCAAGACAAGTATTCTAATAAATGTTTGTCTTGGTTAATGAAATATGTATCCAGTAATTTATTCCAAGTAGTTTTGTTGGCTTGCATCATACCATTGCAATATATCCATTCTTTTAAGTTTCTGGATATTCTATTTTTTTAAATAAAAAGATTAGTCTGTAATTCTGTGTTTTATAATTAATTTATTATTATATTATTCTACGTCGCACATGTAAGAACTTCATCTCAATAAAATTACCTGTGTGTTTCAGGATTTGCAAGAATTTCATTTAGTTTATTAGCGGCTGTTCTCTTACACTCGGAATGATTAAAACGACATGCCCATTTTAAGGTATTGACTCTTGTAAGCTTTATCAATTCATTCTCTGCAGGATCTTCTTCGTATCCTATATTTTTAATAATGCCATTCAAAATATGTAGTACGTATTGCTGTATGTAGGATTATAAAAAAATTAATTTAATAGACCTTCTCTACTCTACTTAATAAAATATTAAAAATATGTTTTTTATTATAAAATGTAATATTATTACCTTGAAATAATCAATTTCTAAAATTTTGTAAAATTTTTCCTCATTCATGATAAAATAATTAAACATGTGATATAAAACTATATAATCGGTTTCTCGAGACAGATAATTTACAAGATCCAGAAATATCTCGATATCGAGTTGATCTGTGATCATAAGATGATAGGCGTCATCAACGATTTGAGCTCGATTAAGTACATGTATTTTTGTATAGTTGTCGGAGTTGAGATAGTTTGCAATTTTTCGCCAATTTAAATTATCGTAATTAACGCGATAGAATCCTGTCGAGAAATTAATTCATATTACAAATCGTATCGTTAAATCAAGATTTATTAAGAAATGTTTGAATATTTTTTTCTCATGTTCAAGTACATACAAATAAATTGTTATTATAAATTATAAAATAAATTATTTCTAAAATTTTGAAGACTTAAGAGAGACACAAATTATAGAGTACACAAAAATAATACATACTATTCTAAAATTACTGGTAAATGTATACGTATGGCATATTCACCTGTTTGTTGTACATTAATTATGATCCAATCATTTGGATCGACTCCGTTAATACTTATATTTTTATCTTGTGGTCGTAGCCATTGAATGGGTAGAGTTCTAGAGAAATCGGGTTTTGACTGCGTAGCAAAAGTCAAAGGTATCCACCATTTATCGCTATCGGTATGTTCATTTTCGCCTTTCAGATGGAAATGTTCTTGCGTTAGTATTGTTTCACCAGTGTCATAGTTTCGGGTCACGTGTACCACAGGGAAATGTCTTTGTTTTATCCAGGTATCCATTACCTCTTTCAATGTATAAGCATTATGTGGAACATCTGATTCATCGAGGACTGCTTGAAAGGCGTTCCATAAGTCGTCGGAAGTAACCGAACTGAACTGACTACACAATGAAAATTAAATTAATGCAAAAAATCAGTTTCTTATATTTTTTGTTTATTATGTTATATATAAATTGAATTATATAAGTGAAGGGTAGCTTGATCTTCACTTATTCGAACGCCGCGGGCGAGCCTCCGTTTCCCTAGCGATACTGCCTGTAGTGGCAGCCGCGTTTCTGTTCTCGCGAGAGAACGCACGAGGGAGCACAAGCCCATCGTTTCCGGCGCGCACGAGGGGTCTTGTACGAAGCGTTGCGCGTTGTACGACGTGTGCCGACTATCCGACGCGAAGAGACATGTTGATATTGTATGTGATTGCGAATAAAGTTTATGTGTTCAGCATCGCCTGAGTGTTATTTAACGATCAAGATCCCGAAAACCCCTACATAAGCATTTTAAAAATCAATCCGTTTTTTGACAACCGGCCTTGGTCTCCCCTAATATTATTATTATATTTACTTTATACGCTGCATTATAATAATTCGTATATATATGTATAATATAAAAAATTATATATTTTATGTGTTACTTACTGCTCGTATAAATATTTAATAATACCTTTCCGAAATACTTCAGCAGTAATAATATGCTGTAACATGCGCAGTATAGCAGGTGCTGTGATAATTAACATCATAAAGCACAATTAATATATTAAAATCACATGACGTCATAAATTTGTAAATATGACAGACAAAAATCAATTTTTGGAATTTAAAATAGAACGCATATTTCTTCATGTTCTTGTAAGAAATTTCATGTATGAATAAATAGCAAATATATATATAAATCCTCTTTTCATTATTATCTTTCTTGTCACTTTGTATTATCTACGTTCAAGGAAATTAAAAGATTTATTTACATTTACTCACCTTTGCCGTAACTCGAATAAGAAAAATGTGAATCAATTTCTTTGCGAGTTTTAACTTCGAATACAATAGGTTTCATTTTCTTAGCAACATCAGCATGAAGAGCTTCTTGTTGAACCTTGACAACAAAAAGGTCCATTACACGCCAATCTTTGAAAATCTGGAAACATATAGACCTTTAGAAAATTTCAAGATTAAGAATATAAAGTATAAAATTAATAAACATAATATTATTATAAAAATGATAAAAATCTATTTTAATTTAATTATTAATTACTAAATATATGTAATTATTGATGACATTTCTTTCGGTACAGAATGCCATAACAAAATGCCATTATTTTTATACATATTTAGTAGTCGAATATACAGATTTAATATTTTAATTAATTTACAATATTATTTTATTTATCTATCATACAATTTTTTTAAATGCATACATGCATGTGAATATAAATTCAATTTAATAACAAACAATATTTACCTCGTTGAGAATATATTCTTCGAAGAATGTTGCAAATCCCTCATTTAGCCACACGTGAGACCACCATGACGGACTGACCATATTACCAAACCATTGATGTGCCATTTCATGTGCTGCTGTTACTGCTACTCGTTGTTTACGAAACAGTGTATCTTCTTTTTCATTGTACGTAAAGTCTTTTTCTCTAAAAATGATTTTATAACTCATTGTCTGTTATATATTGTTTCTTTTTGTTCATACAATGTTTACATACAATTGTCTAAATTAAATATCTATAAGTTTTTATTATTATGATAATTTGCAGTTTATAATTGTAGGTTTTTATTTTTAATTTTTTTTAATCTGAAATATAATTCTATTATATTTTTACATTTCTTGCATCATCTTATTCATCTTATACCTTCTTCACAATTGCTTAATGCGGCCGTCTTAAATACGGAGTTGAATTGGTAAAAATGTTTAAAATTGTTTCAAAAATATATAATTTAAACATAAAAAATAGAAATCGATTTACAATTGAAAAAAAATTCTATGTTTCTGAAACTCTACTGAAAAAAGTCACGTTATATAACGAGGTCATATAATCAAGACAAATAAATCACATAATAAATTGTTACAAAGCAGTACGTAATTTTTTAAATTACGTAATTTGAAAAATCACTTGATATTAAAAAAGTAATTTACTGTGTGATTTTTTATTTATTGAATTTTAAAGAATCGAATGTTAGAAATAGCAGAAAAAAACATTGTCATATGTGATTTTTAAATTTAAAAAATTACGTACTGATTTAGAACAATTATTTACTTGTCTTAATTACATGATTTCGTTATGTAACTTCGTGACGTAATTTTTTTTAATAGGAACTATTTTCTTTCAGAGAGTTTTTACACAATCATGTAACATTGAACACAAACATACATGTATCAATAATCTGATAATATGCAAATTATATAATATACATATAAAATCATAAAGAATTTTCTATTTGTGATGCAAGGAAAATACGACACAAATATAAGAGCTGTTTTTTTAATATTTCTCTTAAATTATATTGTATTACGTATAAATAATAAGTCCCCAATTTTCCATGGCACCAGCTGTCAGTTCCGGAACTGCTAAATGATCCGTTTTTGGAACTTTATCGGTGATGTTGGTATATTCTGTCAGTATGTCTCTAGCCTTTTGAGCAACTTCCTGTGCAAATTTTGAGTGCGGAGCCAATGCCGATCTGCACCACATGTTAAACGTTCCATCTGCGTTAGGAATACGTACATAATCGGACACTACAAATGCTACGAGATAAGTAGACATAATGGGAGTCATGTCGAAGTGTGTCCACATCATGTTGTCTTCGTCATCCGATTGATCCCGTATCGGCATATTTGACACAGCTGTATAATTTCGTCGATGCTTTATGGAGATATTGAAAGTGGCTTTTAATGCCGGTTCGTCCCAACACGGGAACGCTCGTCGTGCCCAACTTGCCTCGAAATGTGATGCGGCCAACCACCTATTATATTTGAATATGGCATGCTTTCAATAACTGATAAATTTATCAGCTACTATTAAAACGAGCGAAATGTTTGGAAAATGTATAAATGCGGTTTAGGAATTATATTTGAATAATAATATTCATTTTTGCAATCTGGTTGTGACATATGTGTCCTTGATGTCTTTGAATGAGGGCAAACGCATATGCTTCTTTAGAAATTTAATAACATAATTTTATTGGAATAATAAAATGATTAATTATTCCAATAGAGAGAGAGAGAGAGAGAGAGAGAGAGAGAGAGAGAGAGAGAGA